CTGCCACCCGCACGACCAACCAGGGCCGGGGACAAACTGCAACCAAGGTACATGCCCTTAGCGGGAACTGAACCCGGGTCTCTCTGGACCGCAGGCGGGCGCTCTAACCGCTGAGCCAAACCGGCCAGGGCTAATTTATCTTTTTTATACCTCAGTTTCTTATTCTGTAAAATGGGCATAACAATTACACTTATCTCATTGGGTTGTTGTGAGGATTAAACAGGTTCATATATCTGTTTGTCATTATTATCCCAACATTATTGTAGAATATCTTAAAACATGCTTCAAACCTTTGTAAATTAACATCAGATATCTCAGGGAGGTGGGGGTTGATGTGGAAGAGAGAGAAGATGATTTACTTGTTTATTATAAATCTCTGTGTCCTTTGGCTTCTTCAATTAATTCATTCAACATTGTTTGAGCACCTCATATGCTAGATACTCTTTTAAGTACTGAGCATACACTGAATAAAACAAAAAATTCTGCCCATCTGCTGCAGGGGTAACAGGCAATAAACAAGATATGTGGGAGAGTGTGTGTTTATATACATACATACACTAAAAATGATAAGTGCTAAGGAGAAAAATACAGCATGGAAGGAGATGAAGGGTTTTTCATTTCAAATAGGATGGTCAAGGGAGTGTGTGCAAAGGTAAAATTTGTAAAGACCTAAAGGAGATGAGAGAGTCATGTGAATATCTTTATAAGAGCATTTAGTTGAAAGGAACAGCAAATGAAAAGACAGTGAAGCAAAAGCATAAATGGCATTCTCAGAGATCAAGAGGTTAGGGGTAGAAGTAGGTTGCTGGAGGGGGAGCAAAGAAGGGAGTGAGGCCATAAAAATCCATCACTTATAAAGATTTATATATTTTTAAAGGGCTGTGATATTTACTCTGAACGAGATGGGTTGTCATTTTAACATTCTAAACTCGACTTCTTTTTTTTTATCCTCACCCGAGGACATTTTTTTTTTTCATTTTTTGTTCAGATAGAGTGGAAGGGAGAGAGAGGAAGAGAGAGAGAGAAACATCGATGTGAAAGGAACACATCGAGTGGTTGCCACCCACACGACCAACCAGGGCCTGGGACAAATTGCAACCAAGGTACGCGCCCTTTGTGGGAACCGAACCCTGGTCTCTCTGGACCGTGGGCCGATGCTCTAACCGCTGAGCCAAACCAGCCAGGGCTCGACTTCTATTTAACATTCTTACACTGACTACTAGGCTGCAGAGTATTACCTTAGTAATTTAAATAATCTAATAAAGAAAAAAACACATACATGAATTCTCTAATATTACTTTCCTTTTCAAGAATCGACCATGGTTCTTGTTATCTATTATCTTGCTTTGTTTTATTGCTTATATTTTAAAGCTGTTTGTAATCTTGCTACATTGTTTCTGTTTAGTCCCATTTCTTTCAATTCTTTCAGACCTAGGAATAATTCTTCCTGTCCTAATTCTCCTAAACCTAGGACCAGTTTTAGTGTAGTTTTATTACTTATAATTTGTTCTGGTAAAAATAACTGGGAGATTTTTTCATAGTGGGTATTAAATACATAAAAGTTTTTGTATATAAATGAAATGTTTTAGAAGTCTTCATTTAAATACTGTTGAGACTCTTGAACATTATTGATATTCTTTCATCATCTTATCAGTAAAGAAGCTTAGTTTCAGAAAAAATAATTTGTTTTACCTAGAGACTTATCAAAGGGTAATAACTAGCTAACAGAATCTTTGGGAGGGACATGAAATTAAATATTTTTGATACATAGCTTGCAACCAGGTAGCCAGGAGAAATGCCCAAGCATACTATATAGCTGATCAAGTATCAGCTCTATTGCCTTCATTGCCCACAAGGTATCTATGAAGGATCGGTCTCTAGGACTTCTATTAGAGCTACCACAGAAGAAACAGATACCTTCCCCCTGTGCCTTCAAGACCACTGCCTCAGATTATTTACCTCTCCCTTCTAAAGACTGCACATTTATGTATACTTGGCAATGCCTAGGCCATTATCTAGAACAGTGGTTCTCAACTTTCCTAGTACCACGTCCCTTTAATACAGTTCCTCATGTTGTGGTGACCCCCAACTGTAAAATTATTTTCGTTGCTACTTCATTACTGTAATTTTGCTACTGTTATGTCTTAGGTGACCCCTGTGAAAGGGTTGTTTGACCCTCAAAGGGATCATGACCCACAGGTTGAGAACCACTGATCTAGAACCTTAGCTGGAGTGGAGTCTGGGAAATGTTATGTATAGTTTTCTATCCTCTACAGTGTGTGAAAGTATGCTTGAAAGGAGATGTGAATGAGTGTTGAATACCTACCACATTTATAATAAAAGAAATGAAAACAAAAATGACATTTTGATATATTTTTTCATATCAGATGGGCAATTTAAATTTTAATAACTTTCATGTTAACAGAAATACAGGAAACATGCTCAGATTCTGGTAGGGATATAAGTAAAATATGTGGAGGACAAATTGGCATTAACTATCCACATTACAAATGAATATACCCATTGATTTAACAATTCTGAGATTTATCTTACATAGTCACATAGTTTGGAAACAAATGTCTGTGAATAGAGGACTGACTTAAATAAATTACAGTATATCCATAAAAGGGGATTCTACAGCCACTAAAGAGAAGGAGATGGTAGACCTTTGTGGATTGATTTGGGAAGATCTTGAAAGAATCACATTCATAATAGAGTGTATAATATTTGTGTGAGAGAAAGAGACACAAAGGCTGTGTGTGTGTGTGAACCATAATAGAATTTGTTTCTGGGAAAGCCAGAAAATGAAAATTTGATGTGACACAGCTAAGAACCATGCATACAATGAAACTGATTTAGCACAAAACATTTACTAGATATTTAAGAAACTGATAGTTGTTTGCATTGTAGAAGGAGCTGTGTAGTTGAGGGGTAGGACTGGAAAAGAATTGATACTCTGGATTTTATATTATTTGCCTGCATTGCATACTAAAAACTAATTTGTTTTAAATTAGCTGTTGCTGTTTTCTACTAAAATATGATTCTGAAAATAGGGAATGTAAAGCCATGATGTATTTCTCATTAAAGAGTTTGTAGCCCTGGCCGGTTTGGCTCAGTGGTTGGAGTGTCGGCCTGCGGACTGGCCTCCGGGTTTGGTTTCCGCTAGGGGCATGTACCCCCTCCAAAAAAAAAGTTTGTAAATTTGTAAATAAATAAAGATAAGGATACTATATAAGGAAATTTTTCTAAATGATATTAGGGTATTGCTTTTTGAGGGACTGTGTACTGTAACTAGTTACTATATATGTTAATTGTTATTAATGACACAGGTAGTTGGAAATTAGAAAATATGTCATTGAATACTTCTGGGAATGAAATGAGAATGCATTCTATTTAGAAAAAAATTTATGTTTGTAAGACATTTTACCATTTTGACTATTAATTTTATATATAGAAAAGATGTGATATAAAACTTTGGTTAACAGATACATGACATTAATATTAGTTCTTATATAAGAACTGAGTCCCTTTGTCCTCATGGTAAACAAAAGCAGTACTGTTTATAATATAATGTAACCTGTTTTTACTAACTTATAAATGTTAATATGAAGAGAACTGAATTTCCATTTGGTTTTGTGAATTAATGGGATAAATATGAGAAAATTATTAAAACTTTTACCTTAAATTGTTAATTTTTTGTTGAGATTTGTTTAGTTAAATTAGGTGTTTAGGGAAATGGTAAATTGTTGATGTATAAGATCATCTAATTAAAAGTTCTAATAATAGGTTTTGTCTTATTTAAGGAGACTTGCAAAACATCTTAACATCATATTTCTTTGTCTACTTGCACATATGTCTCTCATGGTTTCTACCTCCAATAATGTTGGTGTGCTTTGTTTAATATGATCTTAGCTTAGAACTTTGATCTGTTCCAGACCTTCACTACTTCTTTATTTGAAGAATCTAATAATATTTTATGGAAAACATTTGACAGCAGTGAAAAGATGGTACCATAAATAACTGATCAATTTGCGAGAATAGGCTTGAGTATATAGGGAATATAGGAGAACGTGTCACTTTTCCTAATAAGATATTACCTAAGAGGAGGTGGGTGGGGGGGATGGATGAGATAAACTGAAGAACTTATATGCATGTATGTGTAACCAATGGACATAGACAGCAATGCTGGAGTGGGGGGTGGGGGGTATGGTCAGGAGGGGGATGTCTGGGGGGGAAAAGGAAAAACATATGTAACAAAAATGAAGTAATAAAAATTACAAAAAAAAAAAAAAGATATTATGATCTAATCCCAGTTCGGAGCCTGTAAGTCAGTAGTCTCCAAAGCAGAATACACAAACCTGTCTATTTCTATATGCTTAAGAATATTAGAAATTTTACAATGTATGTCTTGGTAATAGTACATGATTTTAAAAGTTTGGAAACACTGATATTTAGGTAATTGATTGTTTCAGGTACCAAAAATAGCAGCAATTGGGAACAAGGAATGAAGCATTTGTAAATCTCAAATTAAACTTGTAATGTGAACTCAAATGTCTTCTTTTAATAATTTGGATAAACCTTGATGGAAAATTTTGAGACATAAACGTACTTAGAGTACTTTAAGGGCATTTATCCAAACTGGAATGTGTCTCTTTGTTTTGTTTTTATATTTATACTAAGCTTTTATACCATGGATGAAAATTTCATAGCCTGATGCTTGCTTTTAGATTTTTTGCCAGCTGAAAATACAAATACTATCAACACTAAAATCTTGTCCTTTCTTTCCAATTATTTGTAATTTCAGCCCATTATACATTGGTTAGCTTTTCTCAGTATCCAATATAAATTTTCCCTGATTGCTGTACACCACATAGTACCAAAGAGATGTCATTTTCACCCTGTACTTCTTCCGTGTACCCAGAACATTGTGGTATGCATTGTATGAAAGACCAGCAAATGGTGATAACTATAATTTATGAATATTCATATTTTTATGTCAGATATTCAAGATTAAAGCAGTCCAATTGGCTGAGAAACTCCTTCCTGCCTTTAATACACCTACTGGGATTCCCTGGGCAATGGTGAATCTGAAAAGGTAAATTCTATCTGTATGTGGTTATTCCTGTTTTAGAATTCTATGTTAGGGTTTCTATTTAATTTATTCACTAGCTACTTTTTAGTAGTTGCTATAGGAATCACACTATACATAATTACTTTTTCAGTTAAGAGTTAATATTGTACCGTTTTATGTGAAGTATAAAAGATTTCAGCCATACCTGTTCATTTACACTCTTCCTCCCATCCTTTATATGTTATAGTTGTGAAGTGAATTGCATCGAATACACTGTTAATCTCAGAATACATTGTTAAAATAGTAAACATATTTATTTTATAGAATTGAGGGAACTAATCTAATATTTACCCAGGTGTTTACTGAATAATAATCTGATACTTACCAGTATATCCAATGTTCTTCATTTCTCTTTGAAGATCTGAGTTTTAACCTAGTATTACTTCACTTCAGCCTGAAAAATTTTATTTAGCATTTCTTGTAGTGCTAATCAGTGGGGGTAAATTCCTATTGTTTTTCTTCATCTGAAAAAGTCTTTACTTTGCATTCATTCTTAAAGGATATTTTCAGGGTATGTAAAATTTTTTATTGATGGTTTTTTTTTCTTACTATGCTTTAAAGATATTTCTCTCTCATGAATTCTGTGGTTGCTGATAAGTCAGAACTTGAATGACCTTTATCCTGTTTTGTTCTTTCTATATCTTGCTTAGCTTTTGCTAATAAGTTTGTTGAATCTGAATATGTCTTCACTAAATATGATGGTAAAATTTTGGTTATTATTTCTTCAAATGTCTTTTCTGTCACTTTTTTTTTTTAACCTCCTTTTGAAATTCCAATTCCATATATTTTAGATTTTTTTCTTTTATTCTCACCTGAGGACATTTTTGCATTTATCTTTAGATAGAGTGGGAGGGAGAGAGACATCATGTGAGAAAGACACATTTACTGGTTGCCACCCACATGACCCCAACCAGGGCCAGGGACTTAACTGCAACCGAGGTATATGCTGTTAGTGGGAACCAAACCCAGGTCTCTCTGGTCCATGGGCCGACGCTCTAACTGCTGAGCCAAACCAGCCAGGGCTATTTTACATGGTTTTATTGTTGCACAGGACCCTGAAGCTCTTGTTTTTATTTTCAATCTTTTTTTCCCTAGGTTAAATAAATTGAACGATTTTCATTGGTCTATCTTCATGTTCACTGACTCTTTCCTATGTTGTTTTAATCTGTTCCTAAGCCCACCCAGTGAATTTCTTTTTAGATTTTTGATTTGATACTCTTTCATTCTGATTTTCTTTCTTTCCTTTCACTGTGAACATACTTCCCTGTATTTCATCAAGCATAGATAGAATAGCTGTCATAAAATCTTTGCATTTCTAACATCTTGGGTCATCTTGGATTTAGTTTCAGTTGATTATTTTTCACTTGAGACTGGATTGGGTAACATTTTTAATATATCCTAGACATTCTGAAAGTATTGTTGTGGAAACTTTGGAATCTGTTATATTGTTCGTGTGTGTGTGTGTGTGAGAGAGAGAGAGAGAGAAGAGAGAAGAGGAGAAGAGAAGAGAAGAGAGGAGAAGAGAGGGGGAGATGAAGTGGTCATTTAATTTAGTTGGATTCAGGAGTCCTCCTTCCTCTTTTTCAGCAGCTGTAATTGCTGCAGAATGCTGGCTTCTGATTCTTCAAGACAGAAAGACTGCAAGTTTTCTATCAGATTTTAGTTCTTCTGCCTAGTATGGACTTTGTCTTTGGTCTAAAAGCTATTAAAAATGGAAGACTTACCTCATGCTTGCCTGTTTTTACAAGTTCCCATTATTCTTAGAATTGCCTGCTTTTGTTCATTCTTCAATAACTTTAGGTCATTGTCATTTTGTATTTTGTTAAGAGTTTATAAAATTTTTCCATGGAAACACTAGTTCAGTCATTAGAAGATACAGCATCACAATGCAAGCATAAATTAGAAAAATTTTGTTAGCTGTATTCTTAGAGTTTTGATTGTTTTAAATGCTCTGATAAATGGTATTTAAATTTTTTTAATTTTCTACTTCTGGAACATAGAATACAGTTGTTCAATAAACTTATTTTGGCCCTGGCCAGTTTGGCTCAGCAGTTAGAGCGTTGGCCTGCGGTCCGGAGAGACCCGGGTTCGGTTCCCGCTAAGGGCACGTACTTCGGTTGCAGTTTGTCCCCGGCCCTGGTTGGTCGTGCGGGTGGCAGCCACTCGATGTGTCCCTTTCACATCGATGTTTCCCTCTCTCTCTCTTCTTCTCTCTCCCTCCCACTCTATCTGTACAAAAAATGGAAAAATATCCTCGGGTGAGGATAAAAAATAAATAAATAAATAAATAAATAAATAAATAAATAAACTTATTTTGAATTCAGTCTTGCTCAATTTGAATTTTCTTGATAATATCAATAATTAATCCGCCCTGGCCGGTTTGGCTCAGCGGTTAGAGCGTCGGCCTGCGGTCTAGAGAGACCCGGGTTCGGTTCCCGCTAAGGGCGCGTACCTCGGTTGCAGTTTGTCCCCGGCCCTGGTTGGTCGTACGGGTGGCAGCCACTCGATGTGTCCCTTTCGCGTCGATGTTTCTCTCTCTTCCTTTCTCTTCCTCTCTCTCCCTCCCAGTCTATCTGTACAAAAAATGGAAAAGTGTCCTCGGGTGAGGATTTAAAAAAAAAAAAAAAAAAAATTAATCCAAGATTGTCTCCTTACCCTTTACTGTATTGGCTATAATACAGAATAGAAATGGTGGTCACGGACATTCTTGTCTTAGTAGAAAGTGAGATTTTTACCATTAAGTATGATGTTAGCTATAGGTTGTTTTGTAGATAATTGTTTTTAGTTTAAGGCAGTTCTGTTTATTTTTCATATTTTAAAAAGATGTTTAAAATCTTTATTGAACTTATTTTTTGTTAATCCTCACCCGAAGATATTTTTTCCATTGATTTTTAGAGAGAATGGGAGCAGGAGAGAGAGAGAGAGACATCAGTGTGAGAGAGACATATAAAAAGATTGCTTCCTGCATGCGCCCCAACTGGGGCCAGGGTTTGAACCTGAAACCCAGGTTGTCTCCTTGACCGGGAATCAAACCCCCCCCCATGACCCTTCTGTGCACAGGCTGACACTTTAACCACTAAGCAACACCAGTCAGGGATTGTGGAATTTTTTAAAGTGATTTTTCTGTAATAAGTTTCTGAAATGTTGATAAGAATTTTGTTTCTAAACCTTCTTATTACAGTGATTTACATTTGTTTTCCAATGAGAAACCATTATTGTATTAAAGGAATAAATCCAATTTGATCATGATGCTGTATTCTTTTTATATATTGTTAGATTTTGTTTGCTAGTATTTTGTTTAGAGTCTTTGCATCTTTTTTGTGTGTATGGTATTTGTACTTTTTCTCAATATTCTTGTCTAGTTTTGATATCAAGGTTGTGTTTCTCTTGTAAAACATGTTGGGTAATGTCCTTTCTTTTTCTCATCTCTGGAAGAGTTTGCATAAGAATTACTATTCTTTTTTAATCATTTTGCTTGGTAGAAGCTCTGGTAAAGCCATTTGGGTCTGAAATTTTTTTTTTATTGATTCCAGAGAGAGGAGGGGAGAGAGAGAGAGAGAAACATTGATTGACTGCCTCCCACACGTGTCCTGGCCAGGGACTGAACCAGCAACCTGGGTGTGTATCCTTACTGGGCATCTGACTTGCCTCTTTTTGGTGTATGGGTGAGTCATACCAGCCAGGGTGGGTCTGGAATTTTGAGAAAAAAAAATTTTTTTTTTTTTTTTATCCTCACCCAAGGATATTTTTCCATTTTTTTTTTGTTCAGATAGAGTGGGAGGGAGAGAGAGAGAAAGAGAGAGAGAGAGAGAGAAAGAGAGAGAAACGTTGACGTGAAAGGGACACATAGAGTGGTTGCCACCCGCATGACCCAACCAGAGCCGGGGACAAACTACAACTGAGGTACGTGCCCTTAGCGGGAACCGAACCCGGGTCTCTCTGGACCACAGGCCGACGCTCTAACCGCTGAGCCAAATTGGCCAGGACTTGAGAAAGTTTTTATACTGCTGATTTAATGTCTTTTATCACCTAATTAAATAACTTATGTTTAGATACTTTGTTTTCTATTTATTTTAAGTAAATTTTAATAAGTTATACACTCCTAAGACTTTGGTCATCTGGCATAATATAGTAATTATATCCTTGTGTTTGTTTATTCTCTGTATTATGTGTTACATATTTTCCTTTTTATACTAATATGCACACAGTAAAGAATGACATTTAAATTTTTTTGGTACACCCCTAAGCAAGATACTGTAGATATTTTGGGTGAATAATACACAGTTCTCACTCTCAAAGGACCAACCAGGACTATGTTATGTTCAGTGAAGTGACACATGCAGATAACCAAATAATATGTTATAAAGTTGAGGGCATCAGTTTGCAGTTAACATGAAATGATGAGATCATCAAAGAAAAGGAAGTTTACTTTTATTTAAGAAGATTAGGGAGTTTTCATGGAAGTTGTTTTTGTAAAGGAGTAAGATATTAATAGGTGATACAAATGGTGTAGGGCATCTTGAGTGGAGGAAATAATTTAACCAAAAAGAAGTGTAGAGATAAGAAGATAATAGGGGAGAAACTTGGACTTTTAGAGAAATGGCTAGTGAGAAGTATAGGAAGCCAGTATATATGAACCTCAAAATACCTCAGCTAATCCTTTAAATAAGGAGATTTATGAAAGGGCAAAAGTACCATTTTTGTGAAGAGGCTCAACCTTTATACTTGCCTTGGAATTACTGAGATAAATTTCATTATCAGGAGACTGAAGGAAGAGCTGAAGAGTGTATTTGAAACTCTTTTCTCTGAAAAAGTAGTAAGGCATATACAGGGCATAAATAAAGATGGTCTGGGTTATCACTAATATCCCTAATCGGGTGAGTTAACTCATGGGACAAACTGGAAGCACTTTTCTTTTGCCCTCCTGAAGGCAACATTCAACAGCAGTGATATTTAACCCCTAC